TTTGTTCATTTTTTTTCATTCATGAAAGGTAAACCTGACATTATTATGAAAAAGTCACGTGACCTAAGAGTTTTGTCTCTTTACAAAGAAATTAATTTTTTTTAAAATTATAGCATTTTAATTTTTTTTTATTTTTGCATAAAGCGTCTTCGAAAGGTAAATAAAAGTCAATAAATTATTAGAAAATATGTTCATTTGTAAAATTACTAAGTTAAAAAAAAAAACCAAAAATTTCATAAATTTTATGTCAATTCTAGTCATCCATACTAGCTGTCATCGCTTAGTTACTCAATTGTCCATCAATCATTGCCTCATATAAACAGGACCAATCATTAACAAATGGTTGTATATTACTTTTTTATGCTATAAGTATGTCAGAAATATATATATATATATATATGTTAAGAAATGGACGAGGTCCGACAATTTATTGTAAATTTTTTTTTATGTTTAAATATAAAAATAACAACGTTAAACATAAATAAAATATATTATATATATATATATATATATATATATATATTTTTTTAAATTAAGAAAATGGCCGCTTTTAAGAAATCGAAATTAAATTTGACATTCCAATCTATATAATTTCTATCTGAAATACACCAGAATATTTTACTTACTGGAAATAATAAATTTAATCCTTTAGTTTTCAATTAAAGCTAAAATAAAATCTTCAAGAATGCGTTTTCATTTTTAAAAATTCATTTTAAACCTTAGGTATAGAAAATTTATGCCGAAAAAGTGGAGGTACCTACATAAAAGGTTTATGGTCAGAGTTGAATCAGACCAGGAAACAGTAGTATTAAAAAGTGCTCAATACACGTGTGAAAAAAATTCTTAATTTTAAGAAATTTGTAAACAAAACAAATTTATCGATTTTAAAACTCTTCCAATATATATATACATATATTTCTGACACGTTATTTGAGTAAAATTAGAAAATTTAAAGTTAAAAGTAAAAATAACATGTAGAGCTTTTAACTTTAAAAATCAGGAAGTCAATTAAAATACGCGACCTTGGTTTCGACCTAATGGCCTCTTCGGGCGATATTTTTAAAAATGACCACCTTAACGCATTATTTTTTTTAAAAAATAACAAAGAACGCTACATAATTATTTTTCAAAAATAAATTGAGGCGTGAAGAAAACAAAGAAAAGAAAGGAACGGGAAGGCAAGTGAATTATAAATGTATACAGTAAAGAAGAAAAGCAAATATGTAAAATAATTGTGAGGAGGATAGGGAGGTGAGCGTATCTGAAGAATAACAGTGGGGTTTTAGATTAGATTTTATTTTTATCCGGCCTCATATTCACTTAAGAATAACAGTTGGGTTTTAAATTATATATATATAATATCGGACAGTGAGTGCGGATACTACTAAAAGAATATAATAACAGAACTAAAATTTATATCAATAATAAATATACAGTTTTTCTTCACCGGTTCACAACTATGAGTTTCATGCACGATGTAATCGTCAGGTGCTGATTGAAAACTTACCGATGCATAATTCAAATATTGATCTTCATACCATACTGTATATATATATCATGTAATCGTCATAACAGTGCTGATTGAAAACATTACCGAACTGCATAATTCAAATAAATGGATCTTCATACCATAAATGAACTGCTCCATATATCATTAGAATAAATGGATGCTCCATATCATTAGAATAAATGGACAGTCCGCTATCATTAGAATAAATGGACTGCTCCACTATCATTAGAATAAATGAACTGCTCCACTATCATTAGAATAAATGGACTGCTCCACTATCATTAGAATAAATGAACTGCTTCACTATCATTAGAATAAATGAACTGCTCCACTATCATTAGAATAAATGGACTGCTCCACTATCATTAGAATAAATGGACTGCTCCACTATCATTAGAATAAATGAACTGCTTCACTATCATTAGAATAAAATGAACTGCTCCACTATCATTAGAATAAATGAATCATTAGAATAAATGAACTGCTCCGCTATCATTAGAATAAATGGACTGCTCCACTATCATTAGAATAAATGAACTGCTCCACTATCATTAGAATAAATGGACTGCTCCACTATCATTAGAATAAATGAACTGCTTCATTTAGATGATATTTATACAGTACGATATAAAAGTCAATATTCGAATTAAGCAACGGTCAGTTTTCAGTCAGCACCTGACGATTACATCGTGCATGAAAGTCAGAGTTGTGATACTATCGAGGGAAAATATATACATAGTTGTTCGAAAAGAATAGGTAAAAAAAATGGAAGTTAAATTTATTTATCTGTCTATATTTCTGAGATGAGTTATTATGTACACTATTTACATTATTCGGACTATTGTCCTCATCTTTGTCGCCATATTTATTACAACGTTTCGGCCGTTGTACGTTCCGGCCTTCTTCAAGTGGTTGTAATGTCGAACTGAACCCTTTATTTCACTCACTAAGGTAGACTGTTCTAGTTCCACGTGCCATGTTTAATGGATGTCAGTGTTAAAGCAGTGGAGAACTTGGAGGGGGGAATTAACAGGAGGTAACTGATAACTGACATCCATTAAACATGGCACGTGGAACTAGAACAGTCTACACCAGTGAGCGTAATAAAGGGTTCAGTTCGACATTCCAACCACCTGAAGAAGGCCGGAGCGTACAACGGCCGAAACGTTGTATTAAATTTATTTAAATAGTATTTTGTGAAAAGAAGTGTAAATTAAATTTATTTAAATATTATTTTGTAAAAAAAAATGTAAGTTGAATTTATTTCAATATTATTTTTTAAAAAGAAATGTAAGTTAAATTTAATTAAATATTATTTTGTAAAAGGAAATAAAATTAAATTTATTTAAATAGTATTTTGCGAAAAAATGTACATTAAATTTATTTAAATATTACTTTGTAAAAAATGTAAGTTAAATTTATTTAACTATTATTTTTTAAAGAAATCTATGTTAAAATTAATTATATATTATTTTGTAAAACGAAATAAAATAAAATTTATTTAAATATTATTTTGTAAAACAAATGTAAGTTTAAATTATTTAAATATTATTTCGTAAAAAGAAATGTAAATAAAATTTATTTAAATATTATTTTGAAAAAGAAATGCAAACTAAATTTGTTTAAATATTCTTTATCAAAAATATAATCACCATCATTTTCAATGACTGTAAACCAACAGGAAGGCGATTTTTTGTATTCCATCTTTAAAGAAATATGGGTTTTTCCCCCTGAGAAAAAGTTTGAAGGACTGTTTTGAACTTCCTTCTTTCTGAACGTTCTGTCCTTAAGAACTTAAAAATGTCCGTCGCAAATCTAGTGAATATGGAGGACGTAGAAGAATCTGGCATCCAAACGATCTTATTTTTTCTTGGGTTTGTTTTGCATAGTGTGCCCTAATACTGTCATGCGATCCAATCAAGTTGCTGGCGATAAACAGTGATGGTCCTTCCATGGTCCATGATCTCGTAATGGACGTCTCCTTTCATGTTCCACTAGACGATTTCTGTGGATAGAATCCTGGTATTGGTGTTTGCACTTAATTCTCATTTTTCGTTAACAACTGTCTGTCTCTGTTTACATGCAAAACCCACTTTTCATCACCTGTAATAATGCGATGCAAAAATATAATGCTGGACTTCCTGGTTAAAAGACTGTCGAAGATGGTGGAGAACATGGTGCTCGGTTTTCAAGCGAAAGGACACGTGGAATCCAACGCGTACATATGTATGTATATCTGTGAATAAAAAGCTGGTTCTGGAAAGTTCTCAAACTGATACATTTGCCAAAAATCTTTTTAGAAATAATAGCAAAATTGTTTCTCGTTGCCTTTTCAGCAATTTTGAATTCAATTTTTCTTTTCTCAGTTCTCCGTCTATCATGCTATTTAACCCATAGTTGGGGAGAGAAGGGATGTATTAATGACTTCCCACAAGGTATTAGTGTAAGTGGAAAGTAACTGTAGTGTTTTAAATTCTCACTAGGTTCTCCATACCTGTGGTCTTGTGCCAGAATAAACTATATTTATTAAGGTATTAGAATTAACGACGTGTGGTCCGTTTTGAAAGAATTTCCAACCCCGCATTTAGGCAACTTTAACCTTTTCCGATTTGACCTTCTCCTAGACTGGCTGCCACTCAAGGCTATAAAGTTCGGTCTACCTTGCTATTTAACACAAAACTGATAATAGAGTTGTACAGGCTGGAATTGGTGACTAGCTGAAATTCTAAGATCGGCTTTCTTCTGTAGAATTTACTGAAGATCTGATTTCTTTCAATTTCGTTAAACAATTGCCTTCAACGCCTTCAACGCAAGAAAACTCTTTTTCTCTTTCTATCCCCCCTTCCCTTCTCCCTCTTTTCCTTTCACTTTTCTCGCCTCTTATTCTATCTTTCCTACTCCCTCCTCTAATCTGTTTCCCATTCTTCTTCATTCTTTGTCACTCTCTATATTTTCTTGTCTCTTGTCGCTCCCTCTTATCTCCTTCTCGCTTTCTTCCCCACTTCTCTCTCTTTTCCTATCTCTGTCTCTCTGTTCCCTCTATCTCTTTTCCATTTCTTTCTCTCCTCCCTCTCTCTCCTCCCTCTCTCTCTCTCTCTCTCTCTCTCTCACACACACACACACACACACACACTCGTTTTGTTGTCTTTTTCACTATTTTCCTTCTATCTTTATTTTTCTCTCACTCATGTCTATCTTTCTCTCTCTTCTTTTACACCCCTTTTACTCTATTTCACATGTATCTTTCTTTTTTTTATTTATTTCTCCTCTTTTGTTCCTTCTTCTTCATTTTTATTATTGTATTTTGTTGTTGTTGTTGTTTCAAGACCCCTTTAAATGTCACACATAGGTCTGACAAGGTTTGGGATATTAAAACACAAACTATTAATGCTATGAAGTCCCGACAGTATTCGATAACTTTGATTGCAAAAGACTTGAAAACAAAAGCAATTTGAAATGATTTCAATGTTTATTCAAAAGGTTTCGTTCATCACTTCCAAACGCGTCTGTAATCATCAATAAATTGCAGGAAGTTCTCGGTATTGGCGTAGACACCAAAACCATCGTTGCAGTCGAAAACGTACGATGCGACACCAGCGACAACTGAGGTACCATCGGCCCGCTGACAAACGAGGCCGCCACCGGAATCACCCTGAAATAAAACACAAAGTAATTTAAGGAGATGCTCGATCAACAAATGTCAAATATTTCCTTATAGAGAAACGGTTAATAATGCTGTTACGATTACCATCTGCTTGCTATCGTTCTGAAAGATTTCATCAATCAAGAATGTTGTGATAAAAGGCAACAAAACTTAGATTAAAATAATAATAATAAGGAACTAGAAAAAATGAATATACCCACAGACGTAACAAGATCGCGACATATGTGTATTGGATGATATGCAAGAAGCACAAAATCGAAACCACTGAGAGATGGTATGAGCAGTAACCAGACACAGTTACCAAAAATAACCATGTAACTATCCTCTGGGACATGCCAATAACTGACGATATTCAGTCACCCCCCCCCACGAGGGTGTCAGGTGGCACAAGGCCTTTTTAACGTGGGATTTCCGAGCCCGTGGGCTCGGCCAAAAATATGCCCATTGAACCCGTATAAACGGGTTCAGGGCCGGTTTACCTCCCCTTCGGCGTAGCCTCCTTCGGGTTCCTCCCGTCTGTAGGAAGAGAGTTTAACCGAACAGTCGCTCAGAAAGTACTGACTCAACTGACAGGGACATAAAATCCAACAGATCTGATATTATCATAAAAGACTATAAATTCAGGAAGTGTATGCTTATTAACATAGCAGAACCATCTGAGAGAAACACCTCCATGAAAATTATCGACAAATGTGGGAAATGAAGACTAAGAAGGTGCTAATAGTAATCGGAGTTTTGAACCTCGTGAGAAAAGGAATGAACAGTTTTACTTACAGTGTCCCAGGTAATACAAACATACAAGTTGCCCAGAAGATCGCCCTACTAGGGACATCCCATATACTAAGAAAAGTGCTATCAACTAAATGACAATTCTCCTATAAGGCCTAGAGGCCATAGTTTGGACCCGGCTCTACAGGATACAAAGCAGGACATAACATAATAAAGATGCAGGAAAATAGTCGGTTCCCTGTACTGCTCCAGTAAGTACCTGATTCTTCATGCTATCCTCTACCTGTGCAAGGGCCAGACCAGGTAGGAAATGGAGCACTGTTGCCATATTTGGGCAGGAATTGCCTAGTCCTCACTTTTCTGCCTTGATAGAGTTCAGAAGCGTCTCCGAGCCCTTTTGGGTGACGAATTATTTTCAACCCTCCAACCTCTCTCTCTCACAGTCCGGATGTTACAAGCCTCTCTCTCTCTCTCTCTCTCTCTCTCTCTCTCTCTCTCTCTCTCTCTCTCTCTCTGTAACTTCCAGGGTAAGTGCTCGGAAGAACTATATTTCTTTATTCTTCCAGGTCTAACCTTCACGGCTAAAATCCGCTACGCCACTTACATTGTAGCAAACCACCCACATTCCCGCCAATATTCCATCGGTGAAAAGTCACTTCCACTCGAATAGCTTCTTCCCGCGAACCACTGCTCTGTGGAACAGACTCCCAAGGGGATGTTTCCCCCGATAAGTACTATCTTAACCTGTTCATGTCTAGGGTTATCCGCTATCTTCCCCTCTTATCTGTATAAACTGCCTCTTCTACCGCGAGTGGCTCTCCGGCCTTGTACAAAGTGAGCGTTACTGTGGAAAAAAAAATGCCAGTTTTGATATGCTGTCTGTCAGAGGTCAATTAAGAAATCTGACTTCAAACACCAATTTTTTAATACCCAAATTAGGTAATAAAAATTTTCTGAGTTGATTTATAACATCAACTGAAGATTTAATATTGTCTTCACACTAAAGGTATCGCTGCGAATAAACTCGTTGTTGGCGGCCGCAGATGAAAATCTATCAGAAAATGTCAAGCACGAGATAACACGTAGTCATGACGAGATAACTCGTAGTCGGGACGAGATAACTCGTAGTCGGGACGAGATAACTCGTAGTCGGGACGAGATAACTCGTAGTTTGGACGAGATAACTCGTAGTCGGGACGAAATAACTCGTAGTCGGGACGAGATAACTCGTAGTTGGGACGAGATAACTCGTAGTCGGGACGAGATAACTGGTAGTTGTGACGAGCTAGTTGGTGTCATAATAAAAATGTGTTAATTGCTACTCTTGAGCGATACGCCTATGTCATTTAGAGCTTTATTTCCATGCTGGGAGTACATAATTTTATGACATATGTAAATTGTTTTAACCCTCCCTCAGTAGTGCGGGAGTGGGTGGCATTGTCACAGAATTACAATCATGGTGTTTTCAAATACACTATTATAGATATATCATTTCGTTCTTAATTTTCTTCTATATTGAGTATTCTTTCTGTTTTTATAGAATGTTAGCTTAAAAGCCGCCATATCGGTTGGCATTTAAGGTAGCTCCTGCGGAGTGTTCTTGATTGGGCCTTCATCACAATAAGTGGGGAGGAGTAGATGCAATAGGCAACAATAAACTTCAGAAGAACTCAAAATTGATCGCTGCATTTAAGTATTGCATTAATATTTAAGTTTACCTTTTAAAAGTTCAGCGATAATTCTTCTGTTACCACTTAATTAAAAGACAATTTGATATACATATGTCCTTACTTTCCGTACAAACACTTTTTTATTTCACGGGTGACTTTTGCTGGATTTTGAAATTAATTTCAATTATTCCCAAATTTATTTCCAAGTTATAAAAATTGTTATCGTACAAAAAAAATTCCTCGCAAAAAATCACGTAAAAAATCGCCGAAATGAAAACTTGGGAAACCAAAATTTCAGGATTTCGGATCTGGACCCGGTCCGGAATGTTTTTAATTTGCTAACGAAGTCGGCTTGATTCCAAAAAGGTATAATGTGTTGAGCTACGGTCTCTAGGAGCAAAGTTGAAAAAATGTGACATAGCCACACACTGACATTCGCATTTATCATATAGAAGAATAACTAAGTTGTGTCCCTTTAATTGAAAAAGTGTGAGACACTGAAATTCACATTTATTATATAGAAGAGGAAGATAAGCTATTGAGAGTTGTGTCCCTTCAATTGAAAAGTTGTGACACAGTGGCAAAGACATTTGATTTATTATATAGAAGTAAAAAAAAAGGAACAAAGAGCAAACAAATTTTTATTTTGAAAATTCAGTTAAAAGAACAATACTTAAAAAAAGAATTTGTAAATTACAAAAATTAAAATATACAAAAATAGGTTCTATTTTATTTTAAGTATGATCTTTTAAAGCAATTTATGATCCATCTGACTCCTCTTCAACTGTTTTTTTCTTTCACATTTCAAACATTAAACAAGAAAGTTTCTGATATCTTTGCATTACAGAGAATCTTTATTTATGACCATGCGTTTGTAATTCACAAATAAAATGAGTAAAATCAGAAAGTCTTTGTAGTTACTAGACGAAGATATTCAGAAAGCAACTTGACTAATCATGAAAATTTGACTTTCTACTTGCTAAAATTTGTCAAACACCCCACAGTAATAACAATGGGTTAATAAAGAGAGATATTATTACAAACTGTCTTTAGTGACGGCCATGTGCTTCTAATTCCCGAAAATATTATTACTAAAACCAGAAACACCTTATAGTTACTTGACAGAGGTGTACAGAAAACTACATGAAAATTTGTCTTGCTACTTGCTAAATATTAAGAAAAAAAAATTGTTGGGTGTTAATGACTGTCTTTCTTGACGGCCATGTTCTCGTAATTCATGCAAATATTATGACTAAATCCAGAACCTCCTTGTAGTTTCTTGGCAAATGTTTACAGAAATCTATATGAAAATTTGTCTTGCCACGTGCTAAATATTAAGAAAAAAATATGTGGTGTTAATAACGACTGTCTTTATTGACGTCCATGTCCTCGTAGTCGTAATATTATGACTAAATTCAGAGCCTCAAATAATATGCTAAATCTTAAGAAAAAAATATTAGTGGGTGTTCAAACATCCCACGTTAATAACAAAAATTATTAAAGAGAGATATTATTACAGACTGTCTTTATTGACGGTCATGTCCTCGTAATTCATGCAAAGATTATGACTAAATCCAGAAACTCAATATAGTTAATTGGTAGAGTTATTCTGAAAGCTACTTAACTAATCATAGAAATGTGACTTACTACTTCTTGCTAAATATTAAAGAAAAACATTTTGTAGTGTTTTCAAACACATCACGGTACTAATGTTTAGGGATTATATTAGCTTAAGACTACATGGATTTATACGTGCTACTAGATTGGCATCAGGGGTCTCACCAGTTTACTGTTGAAATAGTTAAATGCAACCGTCACTTCTACTCCAACGGTTTCTTTTCTCACACTTCCCCCCTGCGGAACTCTCTCTCATTTACTTGTTTCCCTGATAACTAAAATCTTCAAAAATTTAACTGCAAAGTCAATAGCCATCTTCTGTCTTCTCGAATCCCGTTCATCTTTTCCTCTTTCCTCAATCCTCCCTATATTCAGTATTTTCTCTCACTTTCACTCCTTTGCGTACTAGTGGCATTCTCACCTAGCTTGGGGTGAAATGATTAAAAAGATTTCTATAATATGGAAGTAGAAATTAAATTCATTGCATTTATGTAATTTAATTTAACGTAAATTTCACGACTAGGTATTTATGTTGATGACACAACTATCTATTAAATCTTGTCTTAATGTTAAGTCCGGCAATGTAAACCTGTTAGTTACCATCGAGAATGGGTACCAATCAGTTGTTAACTGGGGCAAGGAATGGATTTTAAATTGTTGTCTTTTAATCAACACAGAGAATCTTTTTTTATCTTCAGTCAGCATGGCTGATGCTAACCTCCAGGAGAGCAACTCAGTGCGCCTTCTTGGTCTCACGTTTTCTACTGACATGAAGTGGATATGTTATATCGAATCAACTACTAAGTTTGCTGTTAGGAATGTTGGTTAAATGTGTCGTGCCAGACATTTTTTTCTCGTCACAATCCTTACACGTTTATAAATTTACCACTCATACATTAAATATTGTTGCCATATATGGTCTGGTGTTACTTTTATAAATATAGAAATACTCCAAAGAAGGGTCTGTAATATAATCGATCCTGACCTGGCATCTCGACTTCAGACACTTTCCAACCGCCGGGAGGTGGATTCCCTCTATCTTTTCTATAACTATTTTCATGTCAATTGTTCTAGTTAACGTTCCTTTCCTCCTTGGTCTCGGGATCGCGCGTACTGCTAGATTGGCAATTAGGTCTTATCGTTTTTACTGTTTAATTAGCTAGATGTAACTGCAACTTCTAATTGTAATGCTTTCATTGCTCGCACTTCTCGCCCGGGGAAATCTTTTCCGGTTTCTAGTTTCCTGTTGCCGAAAATCGTTTATAAAAATAAATCACTGCCCGGTGCTCCTGATATATATTTAGAGATCTTTGATAAAAACTAAAGAAGAATCAGCAACCTTCTCGGTCCTGAACTGGCTCCTCATCGGTCACTTTCCCACCGCTGTAAACTTCCCTCCTTGTGCTTTTTCTATAATTACTTTCATAGTATTTGTTCGGATGAGCTCTTCGCTGTGGTTACGTAGACTTTATGAATTTAAGCGCATTACTAGACTGGCGACGAGGTCTCATTGTTTTACAGTTGAACTGGCTAGATGTAAACGTATGTTCTATGCTAACAGTTTCTTTTCTCTCACTTCTTGCTTGTGGAACTCTCTTTCGGCCACATGCTTTCCAGTCAACTTTAATCTTCAAAAATTTTAGCTGCAATGTCAATCGCTATCTACTCTCCTCCTGATTAGTCTTTCTTTGTTCCCGCTCCTTATTAAAGTTTCTATTTTTCTAATTTTTCAACATCGAGTAACATCTTGAGTTTTAGTGGCTTTAATGCCTTTCTTGGGGTGAACTCGATTTAAAGAAAAATATGGAACGTCAATCGCCATCTTCTGTCTTCCTGAAGATTATTCTGTTATTGTCCCGTCTTCTCCCTAAAGTTACCTCAGACTCTTCCGCTCCCAGTAACCCTTTGCGTGTTAGTGGCATTGTTGCCTTGATTGCGGTGAAATGATTAAAAAAAGAAAAAGAAATAGTATTAGAGTAAGATGAATAGATGAGATTAGAGTAGACATGGCAGTTGAGGAAAATAACAAAATGCTTACGCTGCAAATGTTCTTGCCGTTCACCTTCTGATCACCGACACAGACGTGTTGCTGGGCGGTAATTCCTTGGGCTCTCTGTTGGCATTTTCGTGTTGGAATGATTTTAATGTCGGCTCTTTTCATGTTGACAGGATAAATTCCCTCGTCTTTGAAAGAAAAGAAGTAAAAAAAAGAAAAAAAAGAACGATCATGGAAATATGTAGAGTGACTGGGCAGGTTTAAGTGCAACTGGTAAAAATGCCCAACAAACAGAATTGACAAAATTTTCTATAACAAAAAAGAATAGGGTAAAATAATACTAAGCAGGCAACATATATATATATATATATATATATATATATATATATAGAGAGAGAGAGAGAGAGAGATGTTTCATTGAATAATTTAAACAAGTTTTGTCTACTTATTTTCAATAGGATCCTCTCATATTCACAAACAAGCTTCTTAGTATCATTATTAAAGGAAGAGAGAAAATTACCATGTTGATACATATTCATTTATTCCAAGTACTTTCGACATTAGGACAATATCATCATCAGGATATTGTCTTAGGAAAAAGCAACACCTGATGATGACATTGTGCTAATATGTCAATACTTTTACGGAAGCCTGTGACCAGACGAAGAACGTAAAGACATATTACATATATCTCTCTATTCCAAATATGGCAGTTCTTTCACGGAATCCTGTGACCAGACGAAGAACGACATATTACATATATCTCTTCATTTCAAATCTGTTAATTCGTACATGGAAGTTGATGGTTATTGAGACCATCAGTTCACATTAATACCTTTCATTTCTAAATCTGCTATTTCATTCACAAAAATCTACGACTAAAGAGGGTTTGGTTTGATTTGTTTGTTTAACAGCATATCAACTCCTTATGGGTCATTTAATGCCAAAATTTAATTTTTCGGGGAGTCTTGGTATTTTTTATTTTTTTTAGAATTATTTCTGGTAATTTTTTTAATATGAAAATGTATTTTTATATTTTTATAATATTTTAAATATTATATTTTATTATGTTTTGACCGCAGTTTGGGGGTTTAATATTTACCCATAGCTGGGACCCTAACAAGTGCTACCACCCCGGATCAGGTTGTACCTGGGACCAGAAGCAATTAAGAGGTGGTTCCACACTCTTCAAAACCTGATCAGAGTCCTTGCTGCCCGAATTTAGTTATCGTCATACTGTATTTTATCATCATACTCTGGACGGCCAAGAGAGGGAGCATGGAGTCAATCTGCTATTTCTTAATTCGCACATTGCTTTCTCTACGGTTTGGAAGATGATGTTCTTCTAAGCTAGCTGCCATCCGAGGCGAGAGAGCGTACTCTACCCTACGATTTTTTAGTTATTAACATTAACTTTGGTGTGTACCGGCTTGGAACTTATCAACTAAATTTATACCACTACTAACCATGGGTATATCATACCCGATTTTGAAAATATCAAAAAAAAAATTAAATATAAATCTTTATTTGAAATATTTTACATGTAGGCACTTCAAACTTTGTACTTTGAGTTAACATTAATAGGAACTGAAAAACATATTATTTAGGTAAGAAAATCAGGTACTGAAATTGTAATTAAAAATAGGAAAATTTACGCTGAGTACTATATACCCATGGTTAGTGTTCTAGTGTTAATAACAATAGAAAACTAATCCCTCACTTTATGTCCAATAGAATCTACGATACTCAATTGGGCTGTTTTGTTACCACAACATTTTTAAAGTACCCATAATTCCTAGTTGGCCACTTTTTTTTTTTTTGGCTCCCTCACACTACTCTCCTGACTCAGTGCGCATGTGTAACACGCAGTGTGGCGTAGTCGTAGCCCAGTTGTTGATGGGGGGTCCTGTCTAACTGATATATTATTATTATTATTATTATTATTATTATTATTATTATTTCAGTCCTGTAATTGTGAGTTTAGCTATTGTCGATTCAAACGTAGTCAAGATCATCGAGTCAAGGCGAAGGCTCCTTTCCTTAGCTGTATATTATGTGCTTCGCCAGGGCTACATAGAGATTTATTTCACCTAGATCACTTGCCACCCAAGACTATAGAACCTACTCTGTCCTACTATTTACCCTTAGCTGGGGGAGGGAGAAGATTTGGATTCATACTTTTCCCAAGGATATTTACACGTAAGTGAATGTAATACCTTTCTATTCATGGGAATATATTTTGATGATGTTTGACAAATAAAACTTTTCTCCATCCTTGTATTGGCGTGTTTCACCTACAATTACGACATATGTTTATACAACAAATTTATTATAATTTTCATTTCAATGAATAATTACATTTTCACTTCAAGTTTTGATTTAATGTATATTGTAACGAAGATTACCTGTTATGTTATTTTTTGAAGCAGGACGACAGTATTTTACATAATTGTAACACTAAGTATTTTCGTATTGGGGCGTGTCAAAAACTCAGGGGATTATCCATTTTCAGAGATCTGTGGTGATTAACACAGGGTTAAAGAGATTTTTTTTTCCAAATATCATCGTCATATTCTACTATTTCATGAAGTTACTTTTTTCACCACCTGGCTTTATAAACATCTGGCAACAGTCCACTATTGTCGCAACAACTGTCTAGTTTTGACAAGGCCAGTACACTGAAACCCTCGGTCATGATGACTTGGGACTTCATGCAAACACAACCATTGACAAACAATTTCATCTACCCAAATTCACTTAGGTTGGTTACTTTAATGGCATATCAACACTTGTCTTTTTTTTTTTTAATTATCAAATATAGGACTGATAAAACAAAATTCCCTATGAAATAGCAGAGAAAGAGAGAAATAGGTATGGACAAGTGTCAAAAAGTTAAATATGGGTTGGTAGCTAATTTAATATCTTTCTATTCATGAAAATATATTATGGCTATTTTTGATGAATAAATTTTTTCTCTATTCTTGTACTGGCGTGTTTCATCTACAATTTACAACATATGTTTATGCAACAAATTTATTAAAATTCGCATTTCAATAAATAATTATATTTTCAGTTCAAGTTTTGATTTAACGTATATTGTAACAAAGATTACCAGTTATACTATTTTTTTCAGCATTACAACAATATTTTACATAATTGTAACACTATTATTTTTTAGTGGGGCGTGTAAACACCTCAAGAGACTATCCATTTTCAAAAGTCTGAGGTGATTAACGCCGGGTTAATAATATTATCTATGCTCTAAAAATGACAGCATATTTGAGATCGTACCAATCCCTGTGTAGCGAATTATGGCCCCTATCACAGACCATTGTCTGTAAAAAAAAATCCCGTAATAACAGCAGCAGCAGCTAGTAGTATTATTAGCAGCCCACCAGCGTCTATATAAATTCATGCTGTCAAAGATACATTTTCTTCCTTTCATTGGCCGAAAGCATTTCCCTATAGCTGGCAATATAATACTTTTCCTGTTCCAAAATGTAGACATGTGGACTCTCTGGCCATCGAAAGGTGTACCTTTCCACAATCAAACCTCTGTTATTTAATCGTTTTATATAATTTCAGCCTATATCTTTTTGTTGAAAAACATATCGAGTGGTATTGATGTCTACTCGTGATATAAAAGTATCACATCACTTTCTCGACTAGCATTATAATTTTGAAGTTTATTCGTAATCCACAGATAAACATAGCAGTAGCGGCGCAATTTCAGGGTAGCTGGGTTTTAGCTTAATGCATACTTACTTCCTGTTTGACCCCATCCGGCGGCAACGCAGGTACCTGAGAAAACTTCACCCTTCTTGGGAAGCTCGATCGGCTTAATGCATCTGGCAAATTGCACTGGTTTGGTAAGTTCCAACATGGCGATGTCGTTCACTTAAAAAAAAAATGTTGAAGGCATTAGATTGTCTTGTATTGGAATGGCTCAAGAGATTGTTCTTTTTTTAGATCTCATTAGGAGCGTTTACTTTTTATTACAATTGCAAAAAGATCGGCTGTCATATCAGTGATTTTGTTTTTTGTTTTTTTTTGTTGGACATAATTGACGTTCGTTTATTGAGTCTAATATTAAAAATTATATGAAATAGGTAACGTTTCCGGTATATTATGCCGTTTTTATTCTTAGACATCTGAAGGAACAACTTTTTAAAAATTTATTCTGTCTTAGACACATTCATGTTTTCGACTGACTTTCGAATTATACGTGATCCCGCAGTCGTAGTGTACTTTACCCTACAAAGACTCAAAGATATAAAGAAAAGATTTATAAAATAAAACTTATCCACCGAAAAAGAATATCTATGGAGAAGGTGCTGCGGATAATCGATAGTGTCAAAAGTGGTTTGTTAAGTATTGTATTGGAGTTTTCCAGGCTATTTAAAACAATAAAATCAAGACATTACTTGATAATAACGCTATACGAAACGGGCGGTAACGAATATGTTCAAAATATCCAACTCAGGTGCTGAGAATATTTTGCACCATTTTAGTTAAATTAGATTGAGTCATATGTAATTCCCGTTTTTGGGAACTAATTGTAATGATAAATGTATCTTTACTAATAGTTCGCCCAATACAAGGCTCAAGGGCCACTCAAGGTAGAGGGCTACTGAGTGACATTGTAAGGGATTGGGAAGTAAAAGAGAATTATGAGGGCAAGCATGGTACACATCAGTTGACTCTGGACTTAAAGAGACCAAGATTGTAGTTATCAGAGAAGCATTCTCTCGGGAGGTTGTTCCAGGAAGTAACAGTTTTGGGGAAGAAGATGCCTAAGTGGAACTTGCTTTTATCAAAGGATCACGAAGGGAATGGTGATAGTTTGCCATCATGAACACGGCTTGATGGATCTTTGATTGATTGAGTCATTCATTGCTTACGGATTATCAACCCTTTGCAGATTAGGTTGAATCATAAGTAATTTCCGTTTCTGAGCACTAACTGTAATGATGAATATAACATCTTAATTACTAATCATACATGACAGGAATAGATCTGGGGCAAACTAATATGACTTATTTTTTCACTGCATTTAAGGAAAAATGTCGTTCTCTATGACAAAGCAAGGTCACATACAGCAAGGATAACTTATAAAAAAAAATTGGAACTCGATTGGTCTGTTCTACCCAAACTACATTATTCACCTGACCTTGCACCAACCTATTGTATCTTGGCAATGTTGGACCTTTGTGCTCGCAGTAAAACGGAGTGTCAAAATTATATTTTTGCCTTGATACTGCTATCATTTTAACTACCATCACTCCTCGACAATGTTTATTGTTTTAAAAGGCGATTATTAGAATTTTAATAAAACCTAAACATACGAAAATAAATTTATAGATTTTCTTTATTGTCGAGAATTAACAACGAAAAAAATAATAAACGTTATTTATTCATTAGATTGTTTGTTGGCAGCGTACACAATGGATTAATGAAAAAATGTTGTTCTGTTCCCACCCGACCCAAGAGAACGCAAGGCTGCATACAACAAAAAAAACATAGGAAAATATTGTGGAACTCGGTTGGTCTATTCTATCCCACCTGCCATCTTCACCTGATCTGTACCAACAGATTATTTTTTTCTGTCGCTTCGAAGGGGAAAACTTTCTCTAATCAAAAAAATCAAGAGTTCGTCAAAAACCTTTTCACGTCAAACCCTGCCCAATTTTACACTGAACGTATCGAAAAGCAGACAATAAGTGGCAACAAGTCATTGCAGATAACGGTGAATATAAAACTAAAAATGTAATTTTAGTTTTTTTAGTCTATAAAAACGGAAAATGTTTATGGTTCAATCTAATATTGGCCACTTTGATGTATATCTCACATACACTAATGAATCAATGCATTATAGACCAGCGATCTTTGTGAAGAATGACAGCTACTGTCTCGTAACAGCTACGTATATCAGAGTTAGAATTGGATAATCCAGTCTCGTGTACACAATTTTGATGCTTTCGGTGCTGTAGCTATGACCAAGAATAAAGATTTGAGGAACTTTGATAGTAAACAAAAGAAGAAACTGCATAGCTTATGAAATGTTTTTCTTCTTTTCTAGTCCATTATTTATGAGGTATTGTCAGGAAATATTACGCTACTATAATTTCTTTCTTTCTTTTTTCATTTTTTCACTGAAACCAAGTAGTGTCTTTTCCCCTCTTTCCGCGCGATCAAAATGGAATAGTCCATTATTTAGGAGGTATTGGCAGGGCGTAGCGGTCGTGCGAACTAACGAAAGGAGGAACACGCACAATTATAATAATTTGATATTTCGCAAGATTTTGAGAAATGGGTCAAGCCGATAACTTTTTGTTGGCCACATTCTAAAGTAGCACCGAAATCATTTGAAGACATGAATTTCGCATATTCGATGACTCCAGAGTTATAGGCCAAGACCAAATGTATGCGGAGAGAGGAGTGCAGAATATACAACACTAACCTTCGAGGTAGATGGTGTGTGCCTGCACAGAAAAACCAACATTCAGAATCCTGGCTTCTGCCTAATACCGAACGGCCACTGCTCATGAAATACGTAACTCTTTCAGCCAGTTAGCAAGCCTATTTATTGGGCTAGCATAAGGCAGTGAGGTTCCCAATAAGTATCGAACTCCCTACCCCAAGCCAGCGAGTCTAGTTCGTTAGGTAACGCTCTTTGGTAGACGCCACGAATAAAGAATGAAGATGAAATGTATTCTGCTCAGATAAGCTTATGTTTGCGTTTCTTTTCTTTTTTCTTTTTTTTTTTTTTAGTTTACGGTTTAAATATTCTCTTACGAATTGAATTGCCGATAACATATCCGCGGTGTTTAACCCATTGTCTAACGGCAATAACGGTAGTGGTATCTTTTTTAACGGTAGATCCCAAATGAGCGTTGATGGATATCACGTCGCCATCGCTGGAAAAGAAAAAAAAAATGCAATTAAATCACTAAGAAGAAGCCATGAAACAAAACAAAACAAAACAAAAAAAAGACCTATAATAACAACACAAATATACAAAATGAAGATTTTATATTTTTTAATGTTTTACTTTTTAAAAATTATAATAAAATCTTTCAAATTTTCTTTCTTTCTTTCTTTCTTTCTTTCTGTTTTGCTTAGTCACGATTGCTTCTTTTCTTCTTACTTTCCTTCTTTCTTCTGAGACGTCTTTCATTCTTACTTTCATTTAACGTTTGTTTTTTAGACCTCATTTCTTCTTTCTTTCATTTTCCTTTCTTTCTTTTTTAGTCCATAGTGCATATTTTCTTTCGTCATAAACTCCCTCTTTCTTCCTTCCTTCCTTCTTTCTTTCTTTTTCTTAATTAATCTCTATTACCCCCTTTCTTTCATTTTTAATCTCTTTCTTTACTTTTTTCAATCTTTCTTTCTTTTCTTTGTTAGTCCATATTGCATTTTTCTTTAGTCTTAGAACGCGTTCCATTATTTCCTTTTTCTTTTTTCTTTCTTTCTTTGTCCCGATTGCATTTCTTGCTTCGTTTTTTTTTTTTTTCGTTTTCTTTCTTAGAACAGATCTCACTTTCTTTTTATTCATATTACATATATTACATTCTTCTTAATCCTTATTACTTATTTCTTCTTAGAAACTAGTGTTTCTTTCTTCTTAAGCCACTTTCGTTCTTTCTTTTGAACTGAATCATTATTGAGTTTTTAGACCTTTCTTTCGTCCTTTCTTTCTCTCAACTGTCACTTCTTTCGTTCTACCTCTCTTAGTCTTTAATTTAAAATCTCTTTCACTTCTTTCTTTCTTTCTTCTTAAGCCGCTTTCGTTCTTTCTTTCTTTTCTCTTTCTTTCTTTCAACTGAATCATTATTGATTGTGTGTTCTTAGACCTCATCCTTCTTCCTTTCTTTTTCTTCTGGGACTTCTTTTATTCGTTCGTTCTTTAATTCTTTCTGTTTTTCTTCCTTTCTTTCCTTCTTTCTTAGTTCCAGTTGCTTCTGTTTTTTTTTTTTTTGTTTTTGGAGGTTTTTTTTGGTTTTTTTTGTTTTTGTTTTTTTTTTCGGGAACTCCGCGGATGCTTCGTTTGACCGCCAAAGACATTTACCAGTGAATGTATTTGTTTAATAATCGTTAAGAAAGTGAAGTGTTTCTACTTACAGACAGTGGGCGGCGGTCAGTACGTGTTTCTTGCTGATCAATGTCGCGCCGCAAAAGGACACTCCGTCCTTCAGCACGACATCGATGAAGACCATATGAGGAAATTCGCAATGGACAGCATTTTCCCCGCTCACGATCTGCTTATTAACTGAATAAGAAAAGAAAAGAAAACAATTTCTGATTAAATATTCATATTTTTGTCGTCTCCGTTGATGGTTTGTGAGTTAACGGAGTGTCGAGTGTCGATACTTTTTTAAACGTATTCACCCCTATGCAAGGCAATAAAGCCACTAAGACACATGGGATTACTGGGTGTGAGAGAATCAGAAAACAGAAGTATTATTGAGGTGCGAGAACAATAGATGAGTAATCAGGTAGACAGTAGACAACGATTGATATTGCATTTAAATTTTTAAAGATCAAATTTGACTGGAAAGCAAGGAATCCGAAGAGAGTTCCACAAGCGAAAAGTGCGAGAAAAGAAACTGTTAGCATAGAACTTTCCTCTGGACATTTCAACTATAAAATGTTGAGATCTTTTTGCCAATCTAGTACTACGCTTAAATTCATAGAGTCTAGGTACCAAAGAAGAAAGTTCCTCAGAACAATGACCATGAGAGTAGTTATAGAGAAGGCAGAGGGAAGCAACTTTACGGTGGTGGGAAAGTAACTGAAGCCGAGACGCCAGGTCATGACCAATAATATTGCTGATTCTTCTTTGGATTTCATCAAGAATCTCGAAATATATAGCAGGATCACCGAAGCATATGTGGCAACAATATTCAAGGCATGGGCGAATGGTAGACTTATAGATATGTAAGATAGATTCAGAAGAGAGAAATTACTCTAGCACGACACAGTGAACCAACTTTCTTAACAGCTGACCTAGCAAGGAATTCAATATAGTGTTTCCACTTCATGTCAGGCGAGAATGTTAGTCCAAGAAGGCGCAACGAGTCTCTCACCTGGGGGTTAGCATCAGCCATACTGATGAAAGGCAGAAAGTGGTCTCTCGGCTGATTAACAGAGAGCATTTTTGTTATCGAGGCTTTAAAATTAACAAACCATCTTTTGCCCCAGTTAACAACAGACTGTAGGCCAATTCATGAGATCCGCTGCCACTATGACCATATCGATTTGACCAGACTTACTATCGAGACACGGCTAACTGGTTGTCATCAGCAAATTTTAGTTTTATTTTATGCAACAGACTTACCCCCACTATGGGTCAAATAGTAAGTTAAACTGGGCTTGCTTTGCAGTCAGAGTAAATGGACTACTCTTCATACCAAACCATAAGGGCAACAAAGGAAACGATTCTACTATCTTTCTCGAGAAGGCATGGCAATTCACATATATTAAAGAAAGCTGTGGAGCGTCATGAACAGACATGGCATTAAAAAATCGTATTATTAGTCGTATTATCTTTATTTTTATAAGATGATGAATTGTCAGCTGTGGCTATTTTTTTTACTAGTAATGTATGGTTGAAAGTAAAAGGGACAACCTAACATGCGAATTACAAATTGGAGATGTCAAAATTAAACAAGTGCAAAAATTTTAATGTCTAAGAAGAGTTTTAAGAGACGGAAGATGACACGTCTGAATGTGCGTTAGAATAGTGAAAGATGCCTTCCAAATGGTAAGCAAAGTATTAAGAAACAATAGAATTGCATTATAAACTAAGAGTACTTAACTGCTATGTAATATCAGTCTTCCTATACGACAGTGGATGCTGAACAATCGCAGATGAAGACGAGACTTGAAGCAAATGTGGCTCTACATAAGGATACTGAGAATGCCACATACTGAGATAAAATAAGAACTTAAAAAAAAGAATCCTCAAGATTTGAGGGTAAGACCATGTAAAAACGGTGAGTCTGCTCTAAATGTCGAGAGTACGACGAAAGAAAAAGGAGGCTCATCGGCCACATTTTGAGTCTGCGAGGTTACACTGAACTGGGGACCCGAAGGGTAAGACAAAGAACGACATGGCGAAGATCTATTGAGAAGGAGAGGAAACAATGAGCTGGCGACGGAGTAGAGTGGGGACATTCTGTAGAGGTTATATGTGCCAGGAGGCGCCACGTAGATAGATGCGCTGATAGATAAATCTAATTGCACTTCACAGATAATAAAGAAAAATGTGGAAAGACTGGGTCTTAAAAAGACAAAGCATAAAAAACAGTTTTATTGGCGGTTCCAAGTGGCAGAAATGATATACTTCAGATGTTCTGGTCGCGTAACGGCGTTCGAGCCTGTTGTGCAGCGTTCATTTTCCCACAGATACGAATGGAAAGCAGATATATATATATATATATATATATATATATATATATATATATATCTTCTATTATCCGCAGCTATGGAATAAATAGCAAGGTCCACTGGGTTCCCTAGGTTTGGGTGAAATTCTTAGACTTGCGTGGAATTCAAAACTGTTGCGATCAAGTAAATGGTTAAAGAAATAACAAAACAAGTGTTACAGATATATCATTTACATTTTTAAAGATCAAACTTGACTGGAAAGCAAGAAGCCAAAAGAGAGTTCCACAAGCGAGAAGTTCGAGAGACGAAACAATAGCCTTGGATGGGATTTGAACTTAATTCTGCTTTCCGCATCGTTAACCACTAGGCTACATGCACATCCACAAAGAACTGCATGAGTTCATAATGTTTTATACACTACATTTGAACGTCTTTAGTCATTATCTGGGATATCAATCTCTTGTACAAAAGAGAAAAGATTTTATTAATTTCATTTTAGCCTGACCCGCTTTCTAAAATCAATATTTCAATGATCAAGCATCAGAATACTGATTTTTTTTATTATTTCACCCCAAGCAAGGCAATAAAGCAACTAAGGGGCAAGGGAGTCAAAGAGTGTTAGAGAATATGAGAAAAAGAAAAAAAATATTAAGGAGTGATAACAAAAAAATGACAGGAATTAAGAAAACAGAAGATAGCGATTAACATGGCATCTATATTTGTGAAGATCAAAAACGACTGGAAAGCAAGAAACCAAATAATATTGCAAGCGAGAAGTACGACAGAAGAAACTGTTAACATAGGACCTACGGTTACATCTAGCCATTTCAACTGTAAAAAGATTAGATCTTGCTGCTAATCTAGTACCGCGCTTAGATTGATAAAGATTAAAGTAGCAAAGAGGAAAACTCATTACCAAAGACGTGGATTTGATTTGAACGAGAGTCTAAAAGGTAGACATATGTTTCGTTTTAATGAGAGTCTAAAAGGTAGACATATGTTTCGTTTTAATGAGTCTAAAAGGTAGACAAGCTTGATTTGAACGAGAGTCTAAAAGGTAGACATGTTTCGTTTATACGAGAATCTGAAAGGTAGACATATGTTTCGTTTGAACGAGAGTCTAAAAGGTAGACATGTTTCGTTTGAACGAGAGTCTAAAAGGTTTTGGTTTGAAAAAAGAGTAAAAAAGTTAAACATTGGTTTGGTTTGAACTGGAGTCAAAATGTAAACATGGGTTTGGTGTGCACGAGAGTCAAAAAGGTTTATGGAGATGCAGTAAAAGATATTCAAAGCAATGTTAGGTCTTAAACAATAAAAATAAAGCTGGCCTTAGGATCTTTTACATGAAGGAAGCCTAAAATACTTACTTGGCAAGGCCTGTGTAACGGCCAACGCTACAAGAAGGACAAGAGCGACTTTTTCCATGGCTTGGTTATTGTATGAAACACAGACGAAGACTCGCTTTATTTATATTTATTTGAAACAAAGGGAAAATATTTTTGTGTGTGGGAAGAAGAAAATAAATCGATATTCGATTTAAAAATAAATTATATTCCCAGAATCCGTGCATGTGTTTTCTTTATTTAATATGAAATAAAATGAAAGACACGTGATGTCTTTTTTCTTTTCATGACAGTTTTATAACTGAGGAACAAGAAAGATGTAAAACAGTCCCATCATGCAACGCGCGTTACGTCTTGCACACGTGTCTTTGTTTTATTAGTTGTATTTTTTCCTATTAAATTATATATATATATATATATATATATATATATATATATATATATATATATATATATATATATATATATATCCACATCCACTATATTTCTTTTGATGATGAATTTATTTATTCGACTTTTCCCACAAAAACTCTCAAGTTCGACTATGGAGTTAACAGCTTTCAAATATTGACGTCTAGACGAGTATGTGGGGAGGTGTAATGGTAGGGGAGTCATGGGGAAATGGTTTGCCCACATACCCATACTTTTCTTATGATGAGATGACTACAAACGAGACATCTTCTTAAAATAGTTAACCACTGAAAAAAAAACAGGGAGATGTAGATTTATGCCTTTTCCCATAAATATTAATTGGAATCCGGATTTTTGACTTTCTGTTTCGATAACCTTTGCGCTAACTCCCTAATGAGTACCGAGGTAAAAATACAAAAAAAAAAGAGCACAAAAAATAAGTAAATTGTTGGTATCAAACTGAATAATTATCTACCTTGGTTTTGAAAATCAGAGTGTTCCTTCTAAATTAATTTCATTTGTTTGTCTAACGGTATATCAATTTATGGATTATTTAATGTCGAAATATGTAAATACAAAACTTTGCAACAATTTGTAGTCACTCAATTCAAAAATACTATGTCTGTGAGTGTGCATATGTGTGTTTTGTGTGTGCATGCTAAAAAACACAGTAATTAAAATATTTTATTTATTGTGTTTTACTCTGTTGATTTACGATTTGATATGATTTGTTTAACGGTATATCAACACCTTATGGGTCATTTAATGACGAAATTTTCTTGGGAGCTTGGAAGTAATAAATATATATATGTTATTCTGCTTTCACAATTGAATACATAGTAGTTGATATTCAGATTTTGTGCATATACATGATTACGTGGAGATAATTACTAGAGGCGGTGATATGTATGTTTTATGTTGTAGTTTTGTTGAAGTTATATTTTGTAATACAATTTGATTTCTTTAAGAAATCATAGGATATAATATAGATTGTCATGAAAGAATTCTTACATGTTGATTGCTTGGTTGATTTTGTTTAGTGGTATATCGATCTCTATGGTTATTTAATGTCGAAATCTAAATATTTTGTCTTGGTTGTTTTTTTAGAGGCATATCGACGTAGATGTGTTATTTAATGCCAAAATCTAAATATTTTGAACAAAGTTTTATGGATTCAACTGAATATATTTTGAACGTAATTGTATGCCTTCAATTACAGATAAAAACTATAATTGGTCATTTTGCTATAAAATTTATTGATGTTAATTACACCATAAAACGTATTGAAGAAGAAGAAGAAGAAGAAGAAGAAGAAGAAGAAGAAGAAGTTGTTGCTGTTGGTGGTTTAGGAGAGATAAAAACGACAAACTTTACTATGAGCTATAAATGACAAGAAATCGTGGAGAGCCATCATTGCCCACGTCCTGAAGGGACACGGCACATAGAGGAAGACAAAGAATTGCGTGGAGATAATTACTAGAGGCGGTGATAGGTGTGTTTTATGTTGTAGCATTGTTGAAGTTATATTTTGGAATACAGTTTGATTTCTTTAAGAAATCATAGGATATAATATAGATTAATGTCAAGAAAGAATTCTTTCATGTTGGTTGATGTATTGTTGGTAATTTTATTATAAATAGCTATTGTTGGTAATGTTTTTACCTATCCTTCTGACTGTTGCTTGCAAGCTAGAATTTCTATTAGTACAGATAAGGTACTCTCTCTACAATCGTCTTCAAATAACTTCAATCACTCTAATGCCACTGACCTTGCTGGCATCAAGACTTTGAACAATTACTCAATCTCTCACTCAAATAATCTTTTCCTTACCCACCTCCCCGGACTCATGTCAGGACTGTCCTCTTGGCAACTCCGACAAAGTGGTAGTGACTGTAGATATCTCTTTCCGCTCTCCCGTCAGGCAAGAACCCGCTATTAACGGAACTTCGTTCTGTTACCAACACACTGATTAGCCCAAATGAACCACTTCTTCCGGCTATTCCAGCACAACAGGTCCGATTATAACAGACGTCTCTTTGTTGCTACACATAATGAGCGTAAGCAATGTCCTCAAAGGTGAAAAGTCACTATTCACTGATAGAATTTTTTTTGCCAAAAATATGCAGAACAGTTCTTTCAGTACTGGGGATAATTGTATGTACTCATTTGATATTGAGAAAAAGAAAAAAAATATTAAGGAGTGATAACAAAAAAAAGAACAGGAATTAAGAAAACAGAAGATAGCGATTGACATGGCATCTACATTTGTAAAGATCAAAATCGGCTTGAAAGCAAGAAACCAGATAATATTGCAAGCGAGAAGTACGACAGAAGAAACTGTTAACATGGGACCTACGGTTACATCTAGCCATTTCAATTGTAAAAAGATTAGATCTTGCTGCTAATCTAGTACTGCGCTTAGATCGATAAAGATTAAAGTAGAAAAGAGGAAAACTCATTACCATAGACGTGGGTTTGGTTTGAAGGAGACTCTAAAAGGTATTCCTGAATCTGCCTTTATGGAACTGGTGGAGTTAACCCCAATGTCTGTTGTACTTAACTTTAATAATATAAAGTATAATCGAATAAACGGTATAGCGATAGGAAATCTTTAATGAAAGTAATGGTTCTTTTAATATAAGTATTGAAATGTACCCTCAAAGTGACCATCTCAAAAATACTTCTATCACAAGAAAGAGTCGACCACCTTATGCACGATGTTTAAAAAATTATTTACCTTAATGGTACTGTGAAAGCAAAATTTTGCCGGGTCATTATTGGTTATTGTTACCTTTAAATTTCACCTCTTGTGAAGCTAAGCACTTCGTGAGACGATGGTATTATTGCTGTAAACATTCTTGGAACACGTTTTCTGAAATATTTTTCACAAGTGTAATCATCTGTTGCTGAGTGACATGAATCTTAACATATCTTTGTTCTTTCAGGGCATTTTTGAATTTGGGAAAATAGCAAAATATTGAAAGGATTTTTGAATTTTAGTTAAATAGACGTGTAATTTAATTTTTAAAAAAAATCACAGGATGGAATCTCATTATGCAGGATACAGTGGATTTTGGTTTCTGCTTACCGATCAAGAATCGAGACACCATATTCCAAGAAAATATTTCTCATTCTCAAATCCTCTATTAGAATCTGCCGCACCGTTCTTCTATTCATATTTAGTTTTTTCTGCTATTAGTGGTACCATAAACTTTTTTTATCAGAGCACACCAGGGACCGCACTCTGTCCAAATTTGCATTTGCTGTTTGTATTTTCCCCCGACTCATTTTCTTGTGGCATAGTGTATATGACGCGTTCAACAAAAAATCGAAAATTGATTTTTTTTCACTGTAAATTATTCATTATATTCTATCCAACTAATATACAAGAACCGATTACACAATTTCAAGCTCAATTTAGATTTATGGTTTGTAACCATGCAATGAGATAAGGTAACATAAACTGTAGATTTGTCTGCGAAATATTATCACATTATTGTTACATAATTATAGTGAAATCATTATTTGTTGTCAAAAGCATTATATTCTTGGTCGTATATTAATTTAAAATATTCTTTTCTACAGGCTTTATTTTTTAAATGGAATAAGATCATTCTAAATTTCAGAATTTCGCTATTGCCCATCAAATTTCTTCAGAATTATCATAGTTGTTTTCTAAACTGGACGACACATCTCTTTAGTTTTGGACTGGGGGCCAATTAGACATCAGCACAGAGTTCGTCTTTTCAGAGAGGACATTATATAATATATGACGCGTTCGGCGGAGGAGGGGTGTATTCAACAAAAAATCAAAAATTGCTTTTTTCACTTGCAAATTATTCATTATATCCCATCCAAGTATTTTACAAAAAATTAGAGCCGATTACACAATATTTCAAGCTCAATTTAAGTTTATAGTTTGTAACCATGCAATGAGATGAGGTAACATAAACCGTAGATTTGTGTGCGGAATATCATTACATTAATGTTACATAATTATAGTGAAATCATTAAGATTTTTTGTCAAAAGCATTTTATTTTTGGTTGTATATTAATTTAAAATATTCCTTTTTACAGGCTTTATTTTTGAAATGGAATAAGATCATTCTAAATTTCAGAATTTCGCTATTGCCCATCAAAATGACTGAAAGAAAGCGATCTAAAAACAACAATGGAAAAGAGAGGTAACAAAGCATAAACGAAATAGCTCCAGTTTGTTCAACTTAGGAAACTTAGCATTGCAGCCAAAGTATTCTAAAAATGCTGCCAATAACAAAGGAGAAAATGAAAAAATCGAACATAGCATCAAAATTTATATTATTTTTACTTATTTAAATTGTAACTAAATACATAATTGTCAACAATGTTTCCGTAAAACTTGATATTTCCTGTAATAAATTCTTAATTAATATTATTTTTATTACTTTACTTAAGTGTAATGTAGTCCTACATTTAGAATTCATTATGGCTAACCACGAAAAGAAATGTTGATCAAAGCTGCCTAAAACCTTTAAGCGCGCATTGCCCCAAAATGATCAAATGTTGAATACGCCCCTCCTCCGCCGAACGCCTCATATCACTTCGTCCTTCCTTGAACTGCCCGTGATACACACACACACACACACACACACACACACACAAACAAACAAACAAAAAAAAACGATTGCTTCACATATTCATCATTTTAATAAGGATAACTTTTCAGTATATACTGTTGGCAATCTTCGCACAAAATCTGATGTTAATCTACTGCTCCAGAATCCTTCTACTCATTTTCCGCCAACAGGGTAATATGAACACGTCAAACTTCCTCTACTACTCGGCAATGAATGCTCATCTGGTTTGCATCTGAAGAAAGTGTTCTTTGGAACATGTGTGGATGTGCTTGAGTACAAATATTTTCTCGACTCATTACCCCAGCGACACGCTGCCGTCATTCCGGAAATTAAATTGTCACACCTCATATTCAGGGAGGGAGGATACAAAAGAACAACAAATTCTGAGCTAGAGACGGGATAATCACCTACACATTTAACATACACAGCAAGTTAACTCATAAAACGTATAGAAGTAGACATGAGTGAGAATAAAGGGGAATCTATTGAGAACTATGCAGAAAACTCTGATCTAGACATACAGTCTAATAATGGTGTATGTAGAAACGAGAATCTGTTCAAGAGAATTAACGACAAAAATGCCCCTGGAACTTTGAGATTCAAACGAAGTGGCTAATCCAGGTTAAAAGACCAAAACTAGAAAAACTGTATTTCGCTGTTCTAATGAAGTAAGGGGTGAAACTAAAATTTTTAAAAAAAAACTGTTTAAATAATCTAGGCTTTACCAGAGATCGAAACTGGAACAATTGGAAAATATCTGGAAAAGATGAGCTAAACTGGAAACTTGTAAAAACTGGAAATCCGAGGGAAAAATACTCCAGAAAACAGAATACTGAAGTCGGTGTTAGAGTGGTAAGTGGGGTCGCTGTCACTTAATCTCTACCACTTACGACTCGTGGGTAATTTCAATGAGTACACAAATAATAATAATAATAATAATAATAATAACAACAGTCGATGCTATTATTATTCTTTGTAGCTACGACTGACGCGTTGCTGCCGAGGGTGAGAGTACGCATATGTTATTTACATATGTTATAGCTGCAACCAGTCATGCTTTCTGATCGAGAAACCTATATTAAGCTGAAAAGAAAAAGAAAATCAAGGGAGATAAGATCGGGAAGGAGGATGTGAAGAAGAAAAGATAAAGAAAAAGGAGACCAAATAAAAGGATAGATAGATACATAGATAGATAGATAGATAGATAGATAGATAGATAGATAGATAGATAGATAGATACGAAACAGAATTAGATAGATAGATAGATAGATAGATAGATAGATAGATAGATAGATAGATACGAAACAGAATTAGATAGATAGATAGATAGATAGATAGATAGATAGATAGATAGATACGAAACAAAGTCATAAAGACGCAGAGTATTGACTGGATGTCTAAAGACAATAAGAAAACGATTGAAACGTCGGACTGAGAAAGATAGAACTACCAAAAGAAAGAAAGGCCAACAGAATAAAGAATGGTGTGCGGGGGAGAAAAAAGAAACTTTCATAAGCAAATACGTAAGAAAGAAAACAACCCATTCAAATATATATATATATATTGACTGATCAAAAGGGTTAAAGAAAACAGAGAAAGAAAACACCAGGGGAAAAACAAACTGAAAAAAAATTCCCTTTGTTTCCCTGGGAGATGATCCTGCGGTCGTTACGACGAAAATAAAGTTTAGTATGGTTATTATTATTATTAGCATAGTTCCCGTCAAAAATGAAGAGACAAATTTACGGCATATCTGAGAGTATCTCAGAACATCTGAACGTCTAGCCTAGGCACAAACATTCGACCCCTGACCTTCCCTATCCAGGTTCAGTGTGTCGTACCTATGCGTACTGTTACAGAGTTAGAACGTATCGCTTTCCTGGGCTGGAATCTCACCATAGTCAATGTTGTGAAGACACAACACTTAATTCGACCGAGTCGTTGTGACAGTAGTATTCAATTTTCACCTAGAAAAGTTACTGCAATAGTATTATCTTACTTTTTATAGACAATTGCCCAGGACTACTTATCATGAATGGACCAGTTCATTTATGATAGTAAGGAGGGTAACTAGCTAGTGCCACAAGAGTTAATTTGTCAGGTAGGAAAGTTCTTGAGGATATCAACTTGGGGAGGCAATCGCAGCGTGTAGCAGCGTTGGAAAGTACCTGAAAACCAGACCACGTTTTGACCCAAGCCTTGTGAGTGAAATTGGATCGATAAAGTTTGCGAATATTGTTTGCTACATGTTCGTTGATCAGTTCTTCCAAACTTTGGCTCGTTCTGTTTATTTTGTCAGCATTGCACTGGTATCTAAGTTGGTAATTTATCGAACTAATATGATGGCTAGGCAGAATATCTTTCTGTATCGGTTTTAACATTGAGAGGACACAAAAACAGTATGTGGATTGGCGGTAATATACTGTTTTTACACCAACAGAAATATGCTTAGCAAATCTTGCAGTCACCTCACCAATCCACGGCACACGCAAATAGACGAGACATTTCTGGAGACAAATTTTCCTAGGCTTACGAATTTGTTGCATTTTTTCCCGAATGCTAGACACTACAATAACTAAAGGATATCCATTCTCGCTCAGATTCTTCCTCATAAGTTCCAGTTCAGAATCTAATTTCGTTACAGAACATATTGCCAAGGCCCGATGACCCAAGGTCTTAAACAAGTTGATTTTTTGTCTTGAACAAAAGGAATCCCATCGGGTATATAAACGCGTAAAAGTTAATTTCCGGTACACCGATGTAAGAAATCTTGAATTTGATCTGTGTACTAAGGCATCGAGAAAAAGAAAAACAACATTGTTCAGTTTTTCACATGTAAAGTGCAGAGCCGTATACAATATGTTAGCTGTTTAATGAAAACCCCCAGTCTCAACCCCATTGTCAAATACAAAAAAGGCGCCATCCACATATGTAACATAATAATTAGCTCTTTTAATGTGTGCAAGTAAAACTTACAAGAATATATATATATATGTAAATATATATGCCATAGTCGACCCTAAAGGTGTTCCCATCACTATCCTGTCTATTTTCCTATATATTATCCTATTAAAGCTAAATGCCACAGATATGGCGGCGAACTCCATCAGCTCCATAAAGACAGCGTTAGGAATATGTGTGGGTAGAGACAAATGACTATGGTACAACGCATCAATAATACAACGGTACACAGGTGAACAAACTTCTTCTTTATGATCCTTATCCCCTGTAGGCTCTCCACAATGTCCTGTCCTTCGTAGCTCTGAATAAATTTTGGCTTTTTGTTATTTCTTCAAAAACTTGTTCCGTCATCAATTTACGCAAGTACACTAAGTAGGTTATGCGTTCTTTTCTCTGTCCTTCTTGCCTTCAATCTCTTCTGTAAATATCGAATTGATATTTAGTCCTTTCTTCTCGCTTTCCTTCGCTATCTTCTGTAGTCCTTGTATTTTCATTTCTGTGTCTGCTATCAACACTATGTCATCTCTATATCTTATATTGTTAAGATCGTGGCCGCCACTAATGAATTCAAGCTTGATTTCTAATTTTCTCAGAATCACCTCGCTGTATAGGTTGAATAAGTCCGGTGAGAATAAGTCTTACATCCCTGTCTATTTTCGTATATCTGCTGAACTCATTTTCTATCCGTATGCGGACGATTTGCTGCTAGTATTGGTTCTGCATTATTCTGATATCCTTCCCAAGTATGTCAAGGTTACCAAGCAGTTCCAACAGGTCTTTGCAACAAATTTTATCGAACGCCTTTGCATAATCTATAAAACACAGGTACACATCCTTTTGCATCTGTATTGTTCTTTCTGTTATCATTCTGGGCATAAATATCGCGTTCCTTGTTCCAATGTCTTTAACGAACCCATACTGTTCTTGTCCTATTTCTGGGCTGATTCTGCTGCGTGTTCTAGTCACCAGAATTTGGATGATAAGCTTTTGTTATATGACTCATTAGGCTTATTGTCCGATGGAGTCCACATTCGTTTGCACCTGGCTTCTTAGACAGTGCTATGAAAATAGATCTACTTAGGTCTTCCGGTATATCACCACTGTTGTAGATTTCATTTTTTATGTCTGAGATCTTGCCTATGCCGAAATCATCTAAGGCTGCCAGCGTCTCTGTTACAACACCGTCTGGCCCTGCTACTTTGTTTCTGTTCAATTTGGCCACTGTTGATCCCACTTCAGATTTTAATATTTGCGGTTCTTTAGTAATTCTGTGTATTATCGGTTGTTTTCTTTCGTCTTGGAAGAGTTCTCCGATATATCCGTTCCATCTCGGAAGTATTTTTTCTTTCTCTAATATCAAGATCCCGTCATTGGATTTTATGCATCCTTCTGAAGAGTATGTCTTTTGTCCTGTTAGTTCTCTTAAAATATATTTTCTTACTTTAAATAACCTGCAAGGGGTTGATAAACCGCAAAAAAAAAAACGAATCAATACAATATTGATTAGCTACTAAGACATGTCTTTTAGATTTATTTACCTGATTTATTTATGAGGGATCAGTTTATATATTGATCGTAATATAGAAGTAATACCCCAGTTTATATTCACATTATAATTGTTTATCAAATTGTGATTCGGTATAAATTCATCTCTTCTTCCTCGGCTATGACTTGTTTTGAAGGCATAAAAGATCAAATAAACTTGTAACTGACAATGATGTCTCTTTTAGAACCAAAGAAAAACTTTGTTAGAATCAAAGAAACATGTACTGAACTGCTAAGTAATATCAGCCCTCCTCTATGGCAGTGAATGCTGGACAATCTCCTCACAAATGAAGAGACTTAAAACAACAGAAACAAAGAAAAGACTATTGAATTGTGATATTATATAACAATTCAGTAGCCTTTTCTTTGTTTTTTCCTCCTATATGACAGTGAATGCTAGACAATCTCCTCACACATGAAGAAGAGACTTGAAACAACAGAAACAAAGAAAAGACTACTGAATTGTTATATAATATGTCTTCCTATATGGCAGTGAATGATGGACAGTCTCCTCAAAGATAAAGATTGAAGCAACAGAAACAAAGAAAAGACTATTGAATTGTTATGTAGTATCTGTCTTCCTATATGGCAGTGAATGCTGGGCAATCTCCTCACAGATGAAGAAGAGACTTGAAGCAACAGAAATCTGATTTGCTTCTATTCATTTGGCCAGTGCTGATTCCATTTCAGATTTTAACATTTGCGGTCCTTTGGTATGTCTGTGTATTATCAATTGTTTTCTTTTGTCTAGAAAGAGTTCTCCAATATATCCGTTCGATCTGTTAAGTATTTGTTCTTGCTTTATCAAGGTCCCGTCACTGGATGCATCCATTTGATGAGCATGTCTTTTTTCCATGGTACATGAAATCTTTGAACGTGAAATTAGGTAGTCGAAAGCAGTCGATGGTTGTGCAAAGACGAAGTCACAAGTCATCGTGACCTAGGATTTTAGCGTACTGGCTTTGTTCAAATTGTTGAGCACGCCAGATTATATATATATATATATATATATATATATATATGTGTGTGTGTGTGTGTGTGTGTGTGTGTGATAAAAATATAGCTTTAATGCATGCTATATTTATGAGTTAAAGTGGTTACTATCAAGGATATAGCTTATGCAAATATAAAAGTAGACATTGAGGTCAACATCCAGGGGCGACAGTCTGCTTCAGGCTTAAATGCAATCATCAGGCCATGTGCGTTGTGTTTTGGCTCGACTATTTATATATGCTGATCAGTAATGCATTATGGGTAGGTTTATTGCATTATTCTAACGGTTATTGGGTGGCGGTAACGGTTATGTTCCGAATCATTGTAGGTGCTATTGAGTGGAAATAATTGTGGATCCGGATACAATTTTGTGACTATTTTATAGTGCTGCTTGTCATATTTTGTTATTGGTTATTTTATTGCTTCTTGTTGATCGTTATTACTATGTTTACTTGTATTTATGTGTGTATTCGTAGATTGTTAATTTGTTTATTATTTACTTAATTTATTTATTGATCGATTTGAATCAATTCATTATATTTATTTATTTTATTTATTTATCAAAGAAACTATGCATACACAACATCCTTTACAAATAGTAAATACGCGAACAGCACAATGTTTTCTAGACATATGTGGGAAATTAAAAACAAGAAATAAATCACAATAAAAATATGAAAAATAAGAAAAAGAACATTAGCCTACAACAATCAATCCAAAAACTGTAAAATCTGGAGGAAAAAATAGCTATAATTACCTTCCCAGACCAAAACAAACTACTAAATATATGATCAGAACTCATCACAAAATGCAGTCACGAAAACAAATTTTACTACGTTACTTAAAAATCGAAAACTGAAAACAAACCAGAA